AAATGCAGTTGTCACAATAGGTAAATTGAAGATGGATGAGTAGTTGACTCAGAGATCGTATTTACTTATCTTCTAACACATTAATATTTCGTACTTACAGTACCAAGTCTAGAAATAAAATCTTCATTTTGTGTAGTATTAAGGATATTAATGTTTGATTTTGCAGCACAACTCCATACCATTAATTGGGCTTGTAGGCTCGTAACCTCAACACATATGAGACAAACTAAAGATATGAGCGAATGAATGGTTTGTTACGTAGAATGTATTCAAAGTTAGTATCGTTCTTTGTTCGACTAAAGAAAATAGCAAGACAAGAAATAATCTACTCCTTGTTACTACTGTGCCAAGCCGGCCAAACACACAAACAAAAAGAAATATTTATCGAAAACTATTTGGCAACGTGTATTATGTCAATAGTGATTGGGCATACATTGCGGTCGTGAATGAAATGCATTGTAATCGAAGCCGGTAGTATTTTAAGAAAATATGATCTGTTTTTGTTCTTTAAATTTTTAGAAACACAGTTATGAAAGATTTCTCTCTTGAACGTTAACTTCGGAGGATATTTTAAAGGATCTCTTTTTGAATATTTGTAAGTTTAAGATATTATATATCTACAAAATTGCTCTCTGCGTGAATGTATTGTAGTTAATGACGAGTTTTAAAAAGTTAATTGTGTATTTTTTCTATACGTTATATTTAGCGTTTGTAGCAGTTTGAATTAACATGTGTTGTGTAATATCCTTGATTGCATTGTTGAAGTAGCATTGATTGTTTTTAGAGAATTAGTATAAATTTTTAATTTCAAAACGAAATTAAAAATATTGCGGATTTTTTTGTTTGAAAGATATGCAGGTTTCTGAAACTGAATTTTATCTAAAATCCACTGCATTTGTAATCAATCTTAATTCATTTAAAAACTATTCAGAAATATTTGGCATGTTTCTTAACTTTCCCTTCATTAATACCATTGAATAATTATTTTTCTATAAGTAATTCACTCATTTTATTTAAAGACTATATGCATATAACTGAATCGCATTAATGTAAAATATAAACAATGTTTTTATCATGAATAGTGAACAGAAATTGAGCATCAATCTATATTACATATGTCCAGAATAATCTTTGTAAATGGGTAAGATTTTATAAGAACATATCAAAGTAATTATTGCAAATTTATAAAGAAAAAGGGGTGTATCACACAAATATTAGGGACATTTGCTGAATTATTTTTTGCATAGTGTATTCTTAGAATCACAAGTTAAATAAATTATTTTGGTTTTATTGGTTCAAAAGAGGTATAGAATGAAATTTCGCAAATTTTTGGGACAACTTTTAAAATAGGTAATCAACTTATTTTGCATGTACTTCATTATAACTGTTGTGGCCGCGGTAGCCTAGTGGTCATGGTTTCAGATTCGTGGCCGGCGGTTTTCGTTCATTCGCAAGTTCGATCCTTGGCCGCTAAAGACTTAGCAGTGTAGCCGGGGTTGATGCACGTTAAATCTATCGAGGCCCAAAGTCCTCCCATTGGCATGGTGTGGAAGTTAGGAGAGGGGTGTGCCAGCCCAGGTGTTGTCCTTCTCACTTGATCAATTATTAGTTCCATCACCAAAAGCCCCCGTGTTGCTTCTAGTGCAATGTTAATAAAAACTAAATCGTTATAACTGTTTTATTTAGTAGTAAGAGGCTGATTTATATTATTAGCAATGAGTTGCTTTTCCAATTTTATTTAATTATTTGTTAATGGAATCTTTATTTTTCAGTCTATTTATTTATAAATATTTATAAAATTATTTATATTTTAAAAAATTATTTGCTTGCTCTTAAAAATAAATGTTTCTTTAAAAATTAAAGAAATGAAAGTAGACTTTTTAAATCTTTCTTTCATATTCTACTGTAAATATAAAATAAAATTTTTAAATGAAATATCATTACTGCTTCTAATACAATGGTCTATTGTTTTACATAATGCAGAAAATTGTGGATTTCTGTTTTTAAGAGTAGTTATATATTTACTTAATTTTGTCAGATAGGATGTGTTTTATAGTGTGAATTTTTGTGCATGTAGATTTTTTTTTGTTATTATGGAAAATAAATACCTCAGTTTAAGCTTTTAAATTTCAATACTTCTAAAACCAAATGCATGAAATTTGAAAGACTGCTATAAAAAAAGCACTTCTGAAACAACTCATAAATTATTTTAACTTCGTGAATTATTCTTTAAGTGCAATAGTAGCTATTCACCTTTATGAAACTTTTTTGTGAATGATAATTTCAATTTTGATAGATCAGATTACTTGAATGGACTTAAATTTCTATATGTAGCTCAAACACTTAAAACTAATTTTATTCAAATTCTATTATTCTATGAATTGTAAAAGCTGCATTATTCAGAAATTTTGCTGTTTTATAATGATATGTATTTGATTACTTTGATTTTTTTCTAGGTAAACAGATAAATCTTTAGATATATTGATAGAATTTATTTCTTCCCTGCATAATGGCATCTGGTGAGACAAGCCAGTTTGAAAATTTTTCTGATTCAAAAACTGCTGTTGATAAAGTATGTGGATTGGAAATTTAAATTTTTTTTTGAGATTTTTTTTTTATTTGTACTTTATTTTTTGATGAAACTCAAATTGATTTCTATTTAAACTTCTTAGATCTAAAATTCAATAAATAGATAATTATTAAGAGAAATTCATTGCAATTTTAAATCTGATTGTTGACTAAATAGAGCTTTATTATTATTATTTTGCAATATCTAAATGTATGAATAATTTCACAATTTCGAAAGGAAATGTCCCGACACCCATATATTCTGAAATTAACTCATAAGTAATTTACCATTAATAAAGATTTTTTTAAATGAACTTTTTATTGTCTTCTAGATACTTCTGCAACCTTTTAATTATATTGAACAAGTACCAGGAAAACAGATCAGAACTAAACTGACAAAAGTAAGTTTTTTTAAACTATTTATTATGAGTTTATATATTATCGAAGTCAACAATTTGTCCTAGTTTTTCTTTTGCTTGATTTTCAATTTGTAATGATCAATAAAATGTATGTATACAGTAAAACTTCATTTAGTCAGGTTAATTAGGACCAGAATCGATCCTGGTAATAAAAAATCAAGGGTTAATCACATAATGATAAAAAGCACTAAGAAATCATAGAACTTCTCACTCTTTTCCTTTTTGGTTGTTAATGAATATTTTTCAATAAACTATTATACATTTGATTCTTTGGTCTATGAACCTTTAAATTATAACACCTTTTTTTGAGTCAAATTACTTTTTAAAACATTGCTTAGTGCCCTTTATCTCCGTCATATATAACTATATGTATCAGGGTGAATAAAGTAAAATTAAAGGAAATGTTGGATATCTGTCCTTTCAATTATGACTATGTCATTTTTGAAGCAGTTTTTGAATTTCCTTTTTAAAATTCTGATTATTTTGATTTTATAAAATAAATTAGACTAAAATAACTTGTTGTGCACAATAGAAGATATTACCATTTCAGAAAGTATAAATGTGTTCATTCATCTTCTGGGTGAATTAGGAATATGAAGACGTTTTTGAACCTGAACAATGGGTTTATTAATGATGCATTTAGAAATAAGTGCATTACACACGACTTGTGACAAAGTGAATTATGTCTCACAACATAAGTATTTTTTCTATTAACAATGATTGCTTTGATAAACAGCTAAAGTTGTACAAGCCTTTAAGTGAAAGGAAAAACAGTAAACTTTCTTATCTTGTTGTATTTTTTCTTTTTAATTTGAAATTTTATATGAATATAACCAATCATAAATATTATTACTCTGCATTTGAGTTGTTTAATATTATTAAAGAAAAGTCCTTTAAATTAGGTTCATTTATAGATCAAGTTTTGAAGGATGGTCACCTTCTGTGTGACTCTATTAATATGAAACCTAATAAGATTTGAAGAACATGTATCTTCAAAATGTTTCAATAATATATGAACCCCTGTATCTTTGCACTTACAGAATGAAATATTTTGCTGTATTTCTCATTAATTTTATACTATTAATTTTTTTACTGAGCTCATTATACTGCTAGGTTAGACATTTTATTGCATGGTACTTTGTATATAAATATGTGTACCGTAATTTCTTGCATAACTTTTTTCACAATATTAATTTTTTTTTAATATTGCAAAACTAAGTTTTTATAATAGCATGTCAAATTGTTCTCTTAAGCATTTCCAGTGTTTTAAAAGGCTATTTCTGTAAATTAGAATTAGGGAGATTATTTCTTGCATTCATAGTAACTTCTCATTCATTTAATAAAAAGTTAAAATCATAATTATCTGAAATTCACATCATTTGTAATTACAGAGTTACAAATATTTATCTATAGAAGTCCTTCAAGTCTCAGCCTAAATGATTATTCAAACCTATAAAGTTGTTAGCTATGAACCAAAAAAATAAATTGTCCTATAGTTATAACTATAACTTAATTTTATTAATTATATAGTGAGGAGCTGGGACATTCTCTAGGGATTAGGCAAAACAAGGAGAAACACTTGATTTGAAGGCCAAGGTCAGGAAGAGTGCACATGTCACGACTCCCTTTATTACAATGTTTCTATGTATTTCACTTGGTGTGTGTATCAGTGTGTCATCAAATTTTCGATCGTTGGTTTAACCAGCTTCCCATCATGCTACAGCTCTGAAACTTTGGGAATCGTTCTTACTCGCCTATCAATGCAATATTTAGACATTTGCAACAAATTTTAACTAATATTTTAATAATTTTTTTTAAAAAGCTTTGCCACCTTATAAAAACGTTGGTTTTTATCTCCAATTATTTTTGTTGTACTTTTGAAATTTATTTGTGTAATTGTTATTCACATGTAATTTATTTCAAATAACAAAACAGTGTTACATTAAGGGATAACTTTTACACTACCCAGAATGATCCCTTGTGGTAACAAGCATTAAAATTGAAGCCCAACAACCTTCAACATGGGGCACAAACCCACAACTCCGAGATTAAAAGTCTTGTGCTCTACCAATAGAGCTAGCCAATGTGAGAGGTGGCAGAAACTGGTATCAATAAGGGAGCCCGTTGGGCATCAATTTTAATGCCAATTATGGCAAGGGATCATTGGGAGCTCAGTAAATTTATCTGTTGGTGCAACAGCATTTTATTAAAAAAGTTAAATGGTGCATGGACAACAGTTACACTCTTAATTCTATTGTATACAAAGGAAAATAGAGGAGAGAAGTATCACAATGTGAACTGTCCCAGTTCCTTGGCATTCATGGAAATGTTCCTCCTTGTTTTATGTGGTCGCTAGCGGACTCTTCTGCTGCTTGGGACAATCACTATATAGTTAATATAATAAGAGCTGTTATATTTACACAAACGTCTTTATTTGTGCTTGTAAGCATGGCTTAATCATTTTTACCCGGAATCATTTGCCTTTTTTTTATAAATAAAGGAATTAATTAATTTGTTTTATTCATAATATATTTTATTGAAATAGCATATGTATCAAATTGGTATTTTTTGTGTTCTTCAAAATTGCCCAATTTTATTTAAAATTTGCTTATGTGTTAGAAATGAAATATTTATGTGTTAGAAATGAATATATTTTTAAAAAATTGAAGTATTTATTACATTCTATTCCTCTTAGGCTTTTAATTACTGGCTTAATATTCCATTGGACAAGTGCAATGAAATTGGAGAAATTGTTCAAATGTTGCACAATGCTAGTCTTTTGTAAGTATGTTTCATATACTTATTTGAAAATTAAATTAAATTTCTTAAAAATTTATTCAAATCAAAATTCTGAGTAGGAAGCAGGATGCATTATATGCATATGGAGACACTTTTCAAATCTGCCAATTGATTATTTACTTTTTAATAAAGTCATATTATTTTTCTGTAGTTTAATAAGATCACATTTAAAAAACTTTTGTGTGATATAAACTATAAAAACTAAATATATGTTTTGGCATTAATTTTAAAATTATTAAATCACTTTTCACTATAACAATGCCTACAAAGTAAAAAGAAAGAAAGAAACTTGATGTATATTTTATTAGCATTGAAATATTATAAAAAAGTATTTAAATAGACTTCAAAAAACAATTACTTATTATCTTAAGTTTTATGTATGACTTTAAAGTAAGTGATATTACTTTTGTCAAACTAAAAATGCCCCTTTCAATGCTTTTTTTTTCCTGATCAGTCAGTAAGTTCCACAATCCCATAATGATTGTTATGAACAAATAAATGCACTAGGTAGGGGAACATTGATAAGCCCAATAACAGTTAAATATGAAACAAAATCTATATATGTATGCATCTACATAAGTTGGCTATTGTGGTGTGTTCAAAAATATTAAAAATTCAAGTAAATGTCATCAGAGAGATAGAGAGTAAATTTCAGTTGGGTATCAAATATCCAGTATTTTTTTTTTTTTTTTTTTTTTTCCAATTTTTTTTCCCCCCGGTAAACTAAAAACTGGCACAAATGAATGGTGTTTTCTGCCATTGTATTACAATAGTAAAAATTAGTTTAATATAAAAAAAATATGCTCAACAACAAATATGAATAAATTTTCAATTGGAATTTGTAATTGTTGATAAACTTCTGTACAGTAATTTTGTTCTAATTTTAGTATGAGAATTTTTCAGTAGTTTTCATACTGTATTATTTTACTTAGTCTCAAGATCATCTCAGTTATACTCTTAAAAATTTCTATTTGGCTTTGATTTGATGGCCATTCATTAATTAAAATAGGCAACTTATGTGTGTGATTTAGTTCATTTAAATTGATTTGTGAATGATTTTTCAAAATAGCTTGAAATTTGTTTTATAAAGTAGGAAGTATTTTCAATTAATATTCTTCCAATCTTTGATAATGCTGAAAAAGTTTAAAATGTTATTAAACATATATGTAAGAAAGCCTTTATTTTGAATGATAATTTAATGTTCACTTTTTACCATAGCTATTAAAAAAGTATTTGGTATTCATTAAAAATTTAAACGAAAGTTCGAAAATTCCATCTTATAGAGCTCCTTTCCCAGTGTTCGGGAAGTACTTCCTCATCATTACTATTAAAGGAAATTGAACTTAATTTAGGAATTGCATAATTAAGGCATTTTTAAAAAGAAAAGGACTGTTGAAGAGGTGCCTGAGAATCGGCATGCGCTGTCTTGCCCCACCATTATAAAAATTTATAGTTCAAAGTCTATGAATATTTTGAGAAATGAAAATTTTATCACATTTAGAATAAATGAATTTAATTATATATATATATATATAATTTAAATGCAAATAAACCACCAAAACATTAAAATTATTTTAAAAAATCAGGAAATAAGTTTTAATAATATCAAATTAATTTAGGATATATGAGCTATTTTCTTTGAAAGTGGTGTAAGTGTATTTTATTTTATATGGAGATATTTAAGGTTTTGCACTTGAATAATTTGAAAAATATGAATATATGTTATTATGCTAGTTTTGCATTTTTTAAAATATTAAATTGATTTAAATTTATAATGTAATCATTTTGAAATGTGATTAACAAAAATTTATACTTTAAATGACTTCAAAAGGACTTTCAAAGTCAAAAAAAGTAAAAATCTTACATTTACAAAATATTAACTATGGCATCTCAATTGAAACAAACCAATTTCTTTTCATGAAATTTTTATTAAATACTTCAACAGTAAAAAGGCTTTATTTCAACATTTTCATATAGGGACTTTATATTCTATAATAAACGGGGGGGGGGGGGCCACTGAAATTCTGGGAAACTATGAAAATGTTTGTCATTTACAATGTTGCCACACATATAAAAATGAACCAAAAAGATTATGTAGTACAATTTTTAACTAAATAGTATATGTCTTTGAGGAAAGTGAACTTACACCATTTTCAAAGTAATTATATTTGTAACCTCATTAACTACGAACACCATTTTCAAATTAATTATTTATGTAACTTCATTAACTACGAAAATTTGTAATGATAAAAACAATGAAAATTTTAACAGATTTTTTTGGAAAAAGTTTATAAATAAAAAGTTCATAGTAAATTGTATTCATTTTTATCATTAATTATTTTTTTGTCAAAATGGACTTACACCACTTTTAAAGAAAACAACTCATATATTATTGCATTTATATCTACAAATACAATTTTGTGTGTGTGTGCTTATAATGAATTTTTTTTTTAGTATTTATATATAAATTTCAGTTTATTCTTTGTGATTATCAATATTTCTGTATTTAAGAAAAAGCAACATAATTAACAAAATAAAATTTTACTAAACTGATACAGATTCAGTATTCATAATTTTTTAAAGTAATTGTTATTGTATAAAACTATTTGTACATATTTTTGCTGTCAAGTATTGCATTTTTTAATCAAAACCCAAGTATTTATGTAATGCATTTGTAGATATATGATGGCTGTGTAAAATGAATTGTTTTTCAGTGTTAAAAATATACTGACATAATAAAAACAAAAGAAATAAGAATGAAAAAACTTAATTTTAGTAATGCGAAAAATGAATATTTAATAATTTTCACATTCTTTAAATCTTAGTTAAAAAAGTTTTACTGAGCTGTGTGTATTGTTGGAAGGTGCAGATTACCTGTTTTATATATATTGAACATACAGGTTCATTAATTCATAATAAATCTTCCTCATTACACATAGCCATATTAACTGATGAACAATTTATTTTGTATATATGTAATCTTGCTTTAATAAAAGAACAATTTTAATAGTGATAACATTTTTAGATTTATTTACTTACATTAATATCTCATTGTATTTGTCTTACAATTTTTTTTTAAAATTGGTTTCTGGATTTTCTTTTTAATTTTGAGGCAAAATTAGTTTTAAATTTAATATTTCTAATGTTTGGTTATTTTCTTAAAGAATATTAGCAAAATGGACAATTTCTAGTAATTACGTATTTTTTTTTTTTTTGTTGTTGTTGCATATGGTTAAATATCTTAGTTATTTAAGTAATATTTGTAATTATGTTTAATGTTATTTTTTACTTTGATTCCAAGATCTAATTTCAACATTATAAACCAGTATTTTCTTTTAAAATTTAGTTATTGCTACTTGTCTTTTAATTAGAATTGATGATATAGAAGACAATTCCAAATTGAGAAGAGGAGTCCCTGTTGCTCATAATATTTTTGGGATTGCTAGTACAATTAATTCTGCAAATTATGTGTATTTTTTGGGGTTAGAAAGAACTTTAAAACTTGATCATTCTGATGCTACAGCTGTTTTTACAGGTAAGTTTGATATAAACATTTTTCCTTTTAAAATTATTCCTTGTATGCTATATATTTTGATTGTATTCTCTTTTGTTGTATAATTAACATCCACATGTAAATTAATCATTTTTGGTGACCAAAAATTTATTTTCATCCAGATTCTGTATTGGTATTTTAAGTCTTTTTTTTTGGGGGGGTCTATCCTGCAATATTAATTTTTAGCTTATGAGTTCATATTTTTCCTTAAGTATACACTATTAAGCAGTTGTAATTCTTTTTATGTTGAAGATACTTAATTTTAAGAAATTTGCAACTATTACTTTTACTTTGTTTATAAAACATTTTTTCCTGGAGTTATTTTTTAATACTATTTTTTTTCTTTGGATTGCACGTGTTCATGCACATGTTAAAGACCGATTTTTATATGGTCTTTTATATTTATTTTTAAGGCACTAATAAATTATCTTCAGTTTGGATATATTACATAGTTTAAAGCTAAGAGGGATTTTTGATAACAACTCATCTGCAAAATTTTTCATGGTATATCCATGTACCATATAGATAATGTTTTTCATCATAATTTAAGAACACAATTATATTTCAATGAATGCTTTTGTATTATTTTTAAAGTAAGTTTTAGGTTTGTCTTCAATTTAAATTTGTTTTTGGGGTGTTTCAGTTAAAAAAAGATTTTTATTATATAAAAAAAAAATAACCATGTTTAATTTTCTTTTTAAAGAACAGTTGCTTGAGCTACATCGGGGCCAAGG